TCTCCCCTCATAACATGTCCCAAATATTGTAGTTTGCGCTTTTTAACAGTAAGTATCAGCAGACAAATTCGAATGTAATTATAAGTTTACATTTTTTCTAAATTCCCTGTGTCTAATTCCTCTCGATAGACGATGATAAAATAAAATGTTGAAGTCGTGATTGACCGCTGAATAGAACAAAAATCTTTGACTTTTGACAGCTGGCAAAACTGGTATTTATCTCCCCTCATAACATGTCCCAAATATTGTAGTTTGCGCTTTTTAACAGTAAGTATCAGCTCTTTCTCTTTCTGCACTCTTCGCAAAACCTCCACATTTGTTACTTTCTCTGTAAAGGGTATTCTTAATATTCTACGATACATCGACAACTCAAATGCTTCTATCTTTTTGGTATCGATCTTTTTCAATGTCCATGTTTCCATCCCGTAGAGGAGAACTGACATAACGTAACATCTCAAAAGGCGAATTTTAAGTTTTAGACTTAGATCTCTTCCGCAGAACACCTTTTTCAATTTACTAAATGTGGCTCTAGCTTTCTCTATTCTGGTTCTGATTTCTTCAGAGCAATCATTATTTTCGTTGATAACAGTTCCCAGGTAATTATATCTTCTTACACGTTGGATTCTTTGATCATGCACGGTTATGTCAGGGAAGTTTTGTGGTGATTTAGATAGCAGCATTATTTTTGTTTTGCTTATGTTAAGTGATAATCCGTGTTCTTCACTGCATTATACTATTTTGTTAATTAGTATTTGAAGATCTTCCCAAGTTTCTGCGATTAGTACCGTGTCATCGGCATCTCTCAAGTTGTTTATTCGGATGCCATTTATCTTAATACCTATCGTTTGATCCGAAAGTACTGTGTTTTATAATGTCTTCGGAGTATAGATTGAATAAGGTCGGTGAGAGTATACAATGTCTTACGCCTTTCTTGATCTCGATTTCCTCCGTTGTCTCTTGCTCTATTCGGATATTTGCTTTCTGGTTATAGTAAATCTTAGAGATAATTCTAATGTCCCTTTTATATAGTTGTATTGTAAAAATAAAATACTAATATGTAGATCATAGAATCTAAGTACTAAAGCAAAGATATGAATCTAGAATTCAAGCTAGCGAAATGGGATTTGTTAGTAGAGTGAACAACATTATAAGACTTAAAAATATACAGAGAAATAAAGACGATAAAAAATTAAAAACCGAAAGGTGAAGACTAGGACGCTTCTTCAGATATAGCTACTTTTGATGCTAAAACACCTAACAAATACTTACATTCTGGAATGAAGAAGAAGACAATTAAAAAGGTCCAATAACGCGGCCTCTAGAGTACGTGAATAAGTTCAGATAACTACCTAGTTTGCTGAGGTGTAACACAGAACATATGTCCAGGTATATAGGTTATGATTGTGAGCGCCTTGGGACCTTTTGTCTTTTTGGTCTATATCCATCTTCCTCATTTGGACCTTCCAAATGCAAAAGTTAGTAGTTTCAAAAGTCTTGTATATTTCACTGATGACTTAAATGCGTTGTTCTAAGAAAAAACATTAAAAATACTCCTCACAGTGGCAGAGCAAACTCGAAGCACGGCTGAACAGTGGTTCAGTGGAAATAGGCTGTTGCTTAATACTGATAAGACAGGTTTTGTTTACTTTAAAACCAGTCAGTCACGAGAACAGTTTCTAAATACAGTGAATTTTCTATCCCAAAACTCAGAACCTGCTAGATCAGTTAAATTTCTTGGTCTTTATATTAACCAGAACCTGAATTGGGGGGAGCGAATACAAAATACGACAAAAAAACTGAATCTTCTTCTTCTTCTTAGCCTTCTATCGTCCATGTTTGGACATAGGCCTCTCCTAACTCCTTTCATTAGTCTCTATCCTGAGCAACACATTTCCAATTTGTTCCGGCTATTCTTTTAATGTCATCAACCCATCTCATCTGTGGTCTTCCTCTTGGTCGTTTACTTTCGTAAGGTCTCCAATGTTGTATTGTAGTATTCCAACGTTGGTCTTTTTGTCTATCAGTGCGGTCCGCGAAGCTCCATTTAAGTTTGGCAATTTTTGTTGTTATGTCCTCGACTTTTGTTTTGGATCTTACCCAGTCGTTCCTCTTTTTATCTGACAGTCATATACCTAACATTGCTCTGTCCATTGTTCTTTCTGTTGTGGCCAGTTTATTCATGTTTGCGTTGGTTAAGGTCCAGGTTTGACATCCATATGTCATGATAGGAAGGATGCATTGGTTGAACACTTTGCTTCTCAAGTATTGGGGTATTTTGCGGTTCTTAAGTATCTAACTAAGTTTTCCAAATCCTCCCCATGCTAGTCTTGCTCTTCTAGTAATTTCCGCACTTTGGTTCTCTTCGTCAAGTTTCAGGATTTGGCCTAGGTAGATATATTCCTGGATTTGTTCTATCTCACTGCCATTTATAGTTATACGTCTGTGGTCATCTGTGTTTGTCATTATTTTTGTTTTTTTCATATTCATTTTTAGGCCAACGTATTGGGAGCTCCGTGCTAGTTCCCCCATCATAATTTGCAGTTCCTCGAATGTGCTCGCTATAATCACTATGTCATCAGCGAATCTGAGGTGGTTTAACTTATTGCGATTAACGTTAATGCCATAGGTTGACCAATTTGTAGTTTTGACGACGTCTTCTAGGGCTAGGTTGAAAAGCTTTGGTGATATTACATCTCCTTGTCTCACTCCTCTCATAATGGGATGGTATTTGTATTTTCGTCTAGTTGTACTATCATAGTTGCATTTTCATATATATTATGTATTAGTTGCCTATACCTCTAGTCTATTCTACAATTATTAATAGCTTGTTCTATGGCCCACATCTCGACATCTCGATAGTATCAAACGCCTTTTCATAGTCGACGAAGGAAGAAGTACGGGTAATTGGTATTCATTTGCCTTCTTTATCAATGTTCTCATTGTCAACATATGGTCTGATTTACTATATCCTTTGCGGAAGCTAGCCTGTTCAACCGGTTGATAATTGTCCATTTTGTAGGTCAGCCGGTTGTTATTAATTCTCATAAACAATTTGTATACTTGACTGAGCAACGATATATGTCTATAATTTTGAAGGTCGCATTTGTCTCTTTTTTTGTGTAAGAGTATTACTAGACTTTCGTTCCAGTCTTTGGGATCTTGCTATTATGGAGCCATATTAAATAGCTTTGTTAGTACAGGGATTGTTCCTGCTAGAAAACTGAATAGAGCCTGCTAATTATAAATGGTATTAAAGAGTAATCTAGACCAGGGGATTTTACTATCAATATTATAGTATGCAAACTTTTATTCTGTTATGCAATATGAAGTACTCTTCTGGGTACTGCAGTGGATCATAAATGATGAAACATAAAAAAAGGGAAATATTCTTTATTTTTATTGGTAATTTTTATGGTAAAAATGTTATATAACAAAAGTTTTAGAATTTTGTATTACCTCCGGCAGAATTTGTTAAGAGTTAGATTAAAAAATCTTCTCCATCTTTGCCCCGCTTTTCCCCCCTTTAAACCCTAAAGTCATCACGAAATTTTTCAGCTGTTTATCTTATTTTTATTTTTTGTATTATACCCAGATCCTATCACTTTTCATTATAAAACTTTAAACATTAAACCTTTTTTTCAACTTTTTTTTGATAATTTGGCTGATGTAACAATAAATTATACTCATTTAACCAGATATGCCTAAGTCTTGAAAACTTGATAGTGGTTTATTGCTATTTTCCATTACCAAATACAGTTTAGGTATGTAAATGTGATTGGTATAAAATAAATTATTTACTGATTAAGACCGTAATACTAAATAAAATATGAAAAATTGTAATACTTTTACAAATTGTTTTACTAACGACTTTTTTACCACTTTCCCTGATTGTTTTTTGTGTCATTTACAATATCGTATCGAATTAAATTGTCAAAATATACAGATTCTCATTCAATAATCATTACAAGCCCTATAATTCCAAATCTAATTTTGGATTATTCCCAACAATGCCGTTTCCTTCCCTCTCGCTGCATGTGGGCTGTCAAGGGAGCGTAATACCCTTGAAATGCACAATACTTGCAGTAAATTAAAGTCACCAGCAACACCAATATCGAGATGATTTTATTGTTGAGGGGGATGATTTTGTGTTATTGAATAGATTATGGGAGTGTAGATATTGATTGATTGTAATTGTTACGGTGGTGAAGCCACGAGAGCACAACGGCTGGACCTTGGTCCAGAGTGTGTAAGTACCGGTTTGGTCATTGCACCTTTTAAATGACCAATAAAAACTAAATTATGGCTTGCAGCCTATCCAAATGACCATTTGGTCTCATTGTTAAAGGTTATATAGTGTGACCAACCTCTATTGATGCGGTAATGCCTGCAATGCTGTTTAGATGTATTTATTAACGTAGATCACTCCTTTTTTTAATTATTCTCGTCCAGTAACTTTTATCCCCCAGTCGTTAACCCTCATTCCAATAAAGTCTTTTTTTTTTCAAATTTATAACTTATGAAATCACAAATTGTAAAAACAATATTTATTTAATAAAATCCAGGATTATAAAATAGCAGAAACTAAATTTGAAATGCGTAAACACACAACTTTAAATAAAAAGTTTTTCATGTAAAAAAAATTGCTACTTACAGAGTCTAATTTACAAAAAAAAAATGGGATAGTAGCTGGATTGCCAATGCCATAGGGAACATCCCAAACTAGACAATTACTATTTAAAACCATTTAATAGTGTGTTATTAAAAATACTCGAAAAGTCCAACAATCTTATCAATTCGACTTTTTGTACTTTCAGTCCAATATAGTAGATACGCTGGTTCAGCACAAACACAGAACAGTACAACTTTCTTCTCTTCTCCCAAAGAGTAAAAAACCAGTAGTTTGATTCACTGTTTTTTAATTTGTTTAGTGTCCATGATTCCATACATAAATAATAGTTTAGTACTAATCTTATATTTTGACTACAAAATGTTTGTTCTAGGTGCTTAGACTATTTTGAAATCCCAATTGAGTTTCGTAACCTTTTGTATATTATAGCACGTATCACTTTTAAGTAGACTTGGAGACAGACCACCTTCCACTGCTGGGAGTATTTCGAGTCAAGCTCAAAACAGTGCAGAAAAGAAAAGCACAATCATATGACCTACGTATGCTGAAAGACCTCAATACGAGGATGAGACTCCAAGCCACGTGAAACGAGCAAGTGACTGCAATCAGAGACACAAATCGAACGAAGAACAAACGATCAAACATATTACAGAAATAGTGCAACATGTAATGAATAAACACTTAAAGATAGAAGATAGAAAGATTTTCTAAACATGTAGTTCATGTCTTCCTCATCATTTGCTACAACTACCTGATCTTCTGCGAAAAATAAAGTTGTTCCCATTCCCATCCCAACATTAAAGTTGTGTTAAAAATATTCACATTCCGGATACTGGTTTCCTTCACTGCTCTAGTGATGATTGAATATATATTTTAAATAAGGTCGGAGATAGACAACATCCTTGTTTAAGCCCTTTGTTATTGAAAATGATTTAGATGTAAAGTTTCCTTCTTTAACGACACTTCTTGCATTTTTGTATAATAATATATTTGCTATAGCATCTACATACTCTCTACCGAAACCTATTTTCGTTAATGTTTGAAACAGTTTTTTCAAATGTAATGTATCGTATGCCTTCTATAAATCTACAAACAATAGATGGGTAGATAGATTCTTTGCCTTCAGTTTTCGAAAACCTGCCGCAGAAGGAGCTGATGTATCCAACATTCCAATCATCAGGGATATTTTGTCCTTTTAAGCATTTGTTAAATAGTTGAAACAACATGTCATGTAATATTTTTGGTCCACACTTGACCAACTTAATTGGGATGTCTCCAGGTCCTGCTGCTTTATCTTTTTCGATCTTTTGAGGGCATCGCTTAACTCTCCGGTTGTTATCTCCATTATTTGTTTATGATCGGATATTTCTTCCATTTCGATCTCTTGTAATTTACATCTATCCTCTGTCAGTAAGACCTCATAATGATGTTTCCACTGTTTCGGATCTATTAACTGTAAGTTAGATTTTTCCTTTCCTTCCTTCGGAGAGACTTTATCACCTGCCACGCTTGCCCAACTCTTGTTACTCACTCCCACTCTTTATTTTCTTTGTCTTATCTAGAGACTTATGACCTGATTTTTCCATATATGTTGTTGTTGTTCTTTTTCTTCTTCTTTTTATGTAGACATGACTGTCTATTTTTCAATGTGCCTCCAGTAAGTTGTTTTTTCCATCGTTTCCGTGGTCTTCCTACTGATCGTCTTCCTATTGGGGAACCGTCACTTGCCGTCTTTAGTACTCTATTTTTTAGACTGTCCAATTTATCACTTTCGGTTTAGCAAATTATTTTAAGTAAGTAATTTTTGAAAAAGTCTGAATGTCCACACACCTGTATCTTGGCTTCAATTCTTAAGAAATCATCCAAACAAGGTTGTTTTCAATAGATTGCTGGCTCATTTTAAAAGAACAAATAGTGTTGATGTTAGAAAACCTCTACGAAAGATAACCAACTTTTGAAACTATCATCATCATCATCAGCCGTTTGAGTCTACTGCTGGACATAGGCCTCTTGTAAATAATTCCAATGCATTCTGTCATAAGCATCCTGAATCCAGTTGTGATGAATGCGCTTGATGTCATCTGACCACCTTGTTGGAGGACGTCCTTGATTACGATAAGCATCGTGTCTTGGTCTCCATTTCATAATTTCCTTCGTCCACCTTCGTCCAACTGCGTCAGTAACACCAGTTTTTCTCCTAACTATTGTATTTGATACTCTGTCTCTGAGAGATATATTCAGCATGCTACTTGTATTTTATTGATTACTTTTCTGGTAAGGGTCAATGTTTCTGCTGCATACGTTAGAACTAGGAGTACACATTGATCAAAGACCTTCCTTTTCAAGCACTTCAAGCACGTGGGAATATCTGATCTTAAGACTTCTCTCAGTTTTCATAAGCCGCCCATGCCTGTTCTATTCTATTGTTTAGCTCCGTTGTTTGATTATATCTTCCTAATTTAATCTCGTGACCCAGATATTTACAGCTATACGCCTGTTCAATTTGCGTGCCGTTAGTTGCGATGTTTTTCGCCAGTACAAGGTTGGTCATATATTGTGTTTTGGAAAAACTAATTTAAGTCCAACTCGTGTACACGAGCTCTAAAGGTCTTGAAGAAACTGGCAGGCATGATCTACCCGGTGTGCAATAAGAACTATGTCATCTGCAAATCTCAAGTTGTTCAGAAACTCTCCGTTTATATTGACTCCAATATTCTCCTAATTATTGTTTCTCATAGCACTCTGCAACAAAGCGGTGAATAGCTTAGGGAGATGGTATCTCCTTGCCTAATACTCCTCTCGATTTGTGTTGCCATAATACATTCTAAGTGCAGGTGTTGCGCTATTATGTATATTTCGAAGAAGAGTTAGGTACCTATGATCAATACTGCACTTTGTAGGAGCTCTTAACATGCTGGACTGAGTCAAATGCTTTCTCAAAGTCTACAAATATTAATATCAATGGCTTGTTGTATTCTGTAACTTTCTCTATTAAGGATTTTATTACTTGTAGGTGGTCATTCGTTCCAAAGCCACTCCAAAATCCGGCCTGCTCTAATGGTTGGTGAAAATCCAACTTAGGTTCCAGTCTGTTAGTAATTATTCTCATGAAGAGCTTATATAAATAAGAGAACTGTAGTTTTCAATTTATGTTACATCTATTTTTTTGTGCAATACTATCATAATGGCACTATTCCATTTTTCTGGTGTAAGTCCTTTCAAGAGGCAGGCATTATAAATGGGTTTTAAAGCTTTTATGACGCATTGGCCTCCTAATTTTAGCATTTCACTTACAATGTCATCTTCTCCAGGTGTTTTGCTGTTCTTCATACCTTTCAATGCTGATTCGATTTCCTCTTCGGTTATATCTGGAAGTTTCTCTGATCGTTGATTTTGTCTGGCTGGGATTTCCATCTCTGGAATCTGAGCACCTCGACGATATATTGTTCTATAGTTTCTTTGATAATTTTCATAATTTTATGTTGTTTATATTTTATAGTAAATTGCAATAGGGTTAACTGTGATGTGAAATGATGGGTTGGTAATTAATTGGTTGTTCTTTGTTTGAAGATCATTTAAATAAAAGATTATTTTTAAATTTTTAATGTAAGTTATATTTTAAAATAACACTATTTAAAAAATGACAGGGCTTTATCTTAGTTAACCACGCCCAATTACACAGTGTAAATACAAAAAAAAAACTAAATAGTTAACACAAAAAAATAAATAGGTTAAAATTAAATTTGTGGGATTTGTTCAAATCTTTTCATTCAATAAATAAGGATATGAATTAAAAACACTTATTAAGAGCCTAATTAATCATTAAACACATTCACACATGTCACATATTTCATGATGAACTTAATTTTTTACACATTATTAAATATATTTCTGATTTGTAATGTATCAAAGTATCCTACCACCCGCAGAGACTTAATCCTTTTATTTAACTTAAGAATTGTTGGGGCGTTTTTGTGGCATCATATCTAATCCACCATTTCAACGCATTCTTCACCATCATTGTCGACAACAACTCAAACATAAAATACTTCTTGGATGTTACAAAATAAAAATTGAATAATAAACTTTTAGGCCAGTCATTTTATCAAGACGATATAAAAATTCGGACAGAGTTTTATTAGTCCGCGATTTTTTATAAGTGATATTTTTATCAATACAATTTATTACTAATCTATAAACTTACAATAAATTATTTATTGAATTTGGAGTGAGGGTTACAGTCCCCAAATTTTTTTCATCTAGAAAATAGTTTTATAATCGACAGCTTCATGTAAAAGGAAACACAAAATAGATTATCTTTGTGGAATATTGATGCCAATTTTGAAGAATTTCTCTACCAATAATCGTCCTTATCGGAGCTTGAAAAGAATCTGATTCAAATGCAGATTAAATGGAAGTCTATGATTTATTAAGTAATTAGTCAGTTTCTAATGATAGCAGTATTTAATTTAAATACCAAATACATAAATAATTTTACAGGTAAAATACTTTCTTATTTTATTATGTTCATTTTATAAACAACTGGAGCAAAGCAGTACCGCTGTTATTATTTAAAAAACTAGAAAGAAGAGATCTAAAGAACTATAGACCCATAACTCTACTGCTATCATCTTATAGCTAAAGTCCGCGTTTGTGAAATTATGAAATAACCTCCAGTTTTATAGGTAGTTGGTTTACTGACATACGCTAAATGGAATAGAGAAGTTAAAAAAGACGTGGATAAGGCGAAAAATATAAACTGGAAGGCTAAGTGTGATGAACTGGACAGATTTATGGGTGGAACAAAAATGGCGCAAGCTTGGAAAACATTAAAACAGTTTAGGAAAAATGAGGAAAATGAAGACATTTCTCTCATAAAGTTAAATGAATGGGAAGAATATTATACGAAACTGATGAAAGAGGATAGAGTAGAGTACAGATGGGAAAAGATAAGGGAATTAATAGACAACAGAGACGAAAGACAGGAAATCCCTATAATAACATTATCTGAATTGACGGAAACCTTAAAAGAGGTTAAAAACGGAAAAGCCGCAGGGCCTGGAGACATTCCCATAGAGCTGGTTAAATATGGGCTGACTGCACTTTTAGAATTAATAGTAGACCTTTTCAATAAATGTATGTGTGGAGACCAGGAAATTCCTAAATATTGGAATAAATCTTATATAAGCTCCATATATAAGAGAGGGAATAAAAGAGACTGTTCCAATTATAGAGGTATTAGTGTGACGAGCTCTGTGGGCCGGTTGTACGGCAGGAATATTAAAGAAGAGGGTTGAAGACAGATACAAGATATTGAAGAACAAAGCGGCTTTCGTACCGGGAGATCCTGCCTTGATAATATATTTATCCTACGACAAATAATTGAAAAGCGTGCGAAAGAAGTAGAGAGACCCATTTGGTATTTATAGACCTTGAGAAAGCATATGAT